TCTTAGGGTGCTTCAACTTTTGTGACGAGTAATGGCAAATCTTCCTCGTCATTGACGGAATTTATTCAGAAATACACAACGTTTCAAAGCTAACTATGTAACATATACTGCTTATTTATTATAATCTCTTTTAATGATTAATTTTCTTCTTCAGTTGAATTACGTGCTCTTCAAAATTTGCATGTGAAATTCATAACGAAACTGCATCCAAAGCCCGTTTCAATGCTGTAACATCTGCTCTCCTACTTTAGTTTCAGTGCTATGCGATTTCCACGGCCAACAACTGTTAAATAAAAACAACCAATGTTCACATTCTCACATCATCAAATTATTATAAGTCAGTGGTAAATGGGTTGTCTATCACATTTCGTTCAAACAGCTAGCGTCTTCGTCTTTGTGCTTGTTGTTTCTCTTTCGTACATGCACACTGCTCAACTCTGCTTGGTCGGAAAGGAGAGCTCTCTCTTTGGAAATACGACATGCAAGTACACGCCGGCATCCCCCATACGCTTTGAACGCAATGGCGGACAGAGAAGAAACTGCTCCGGCAGTGCATTTTGGTTTTGTTGTCTCGGCAGTCGGGAAAGTCTCTGTGGTACGGGCGCCCCTCGACGTCGCCACCACCGCCGCTCCACTCGACAGGTGGCGCTTCTGTTAAGGGTCACCAGTCGACGTGGGGTTATGGGGGAGGGGGGGTGGGGGTGGAGTGGTACTAAAGAGGAAAGAGACTCCAAGAGGACGCGTGCCCAGGAAGGACGGCGGAGGCGCGAGCTCTGGCCTTCGATCAGCTCTGGGTCCCCAGAAGCGGAGGAGGGGGTGTGCGTGAAAGAGAGGGAGGTGCAAGGGTGACTCGACCCGCCGCCGTTTGACGTCACCTGCCCCCCTCTTCCCGCTGCCAGGGAATCAATAGCGAAGCCCGGGCTGTCGGCTTTGGCCCCGTGGAATCGGAGCTCGAGAGAGGCGGCTGCTCGCCACTGCAGGGCAGCTGCCTGCCTCCGAGGACGACGCACGCGGTCTTCCCGGCTGATTGTGTGCGCACCCGGACTCCCTCCCTCTCTTTGCGATGACGCGGTACGTTTCTCTCTCCCTCAAGACCCGCGGCAGGGCCAAGCCCGGTGCTCGTTCTTCGAGAGGCAGCCGTGAAGGCCGAGCAGACTGCAGGAAAATAACAACAGAGTCGAGAGAGTCGAAAGAAGCGCCGCGCAGTGATTCGCTTATGTTGCGCTGTCCTTGGCGTTGTACTGCAGCCGTACTAGAGAAGCCGAAATGCAAACTGCAGTGGAACTTTCCGCACCGACCGCAGCGCCATAACGTACACAGTCTGCAAAAAAAAAAAAAAGAGCGCAGAAGCAACGGTCGACGTAATGTCGCGCGCTCGTGTTTGTTTATTCGAAGTGCGCTTTTCGATGTGCGTCTATTCGCGATTTATATTTTCACGCGAGGGGACGTGCTTATTGATAAAGGGAAAAAGAAAATCATTGGATTTTCGTTGTTTACGAGTCCGTGCGTTTTGACGCAATACGAAGTGAAGGCTTGCCCGACGAGAATAGGAATGATTGAGAAGCACTACAGTTAATAAAATAAAGGTGTGCTTTGCAACCATTTTTGATGGCGTAACCTTATTGTCTTGCGTGCTGAGCATAAAGCTTTATGAATTAGTATCATGCTTTTACTTTTTCGTTATATTACGCAACTGTCACATCTAACAAGGAGTTACTAATTACGACTATGATTCGCGAAGCAATGTCACGCTACTAACTGCGGTGGTGTGTATCACTCCTCGAGTAAATCATGCGGGGTGACAAAATTGTACTGTAGACGCATAATATGTTAAAAAAGTCTGTTGTTGCAGATAGACATCACCAGGGCCCAAACTAATAAAGTGATTTGTTCATAAATTCGAATAATACATGCTCGGCCATGTTGGCAATGAATATTAGCCTTTACAACGAACAAAGATAACAAAGGTTGACCAGGAAAAGAAAAAGAATGCGTTGATTCTGTCTGAACTTTTCCAATCAACTCAAGAATATCTTCGTCACAACTTCTTGCGCTGAAGTCAGCAGGTTCCTTGCCCTGCTCAAATTCAGCAGTTCAGTTTAATTGTGTGGAGCGGAAGACATTCCCCGAGCCTGGTGCTTCTGCCGTTATACGACTATTTTACCGGATGTGTTTTTGTTTCGTCATATTGAGCTGTTATTTTGCCGCTGTGAATTTTTAACAACTAAACGAAGGGAGCTAGGGTATACGCATACTTCTGAAAGCGGTTGGGTTGGTGTATTAACGTTTCAAGACCTCAATCATTCCTTTACCGTATTAAAAAAACATTCATCAGCTAAAGATGGCGTCACCCATATGTCTTACGTAAAACCGTCTCTAATATAACATTGAGTAGAGCTCACGGAATCATAGAAGGCGGCGTACGCAGTCGTCGTCAGCTTGGCACAAAGTCAACGAACGCTTTGACCTGCCATATTGCTCTTGGGGTTATCGCTGTTTTTCCACAGAAGCGCGGGATTCTCTCGAGCACATTTATTTCCATTGCTACGTCTTCCTCTACGTAAACCTCTTGCAACACGTTATGAATTTTAGCGACATTATTTCTCAACCGCACAAAACATTTTGGTTTTTTTATGGTGACGCCATGCTCCGTCCGTTCGTTCATCTTCATTTTGACAAACGCTAGAAATTGGTTACAAAACCCATTTCTTGGTCAATCCACCTTGGTAGATACCAGTCGCTTGTAAGGTGGATAACATCATATGCACGCATAAAACTCTGCCTTGAATTGCAGCACTTCGTTCTGCATGCTAGAGGTCAAGTGCCATGCGTCCGCTTTCAAGTGGGCTGAGCGAGAGACCAATGTCACTACACGTTCTTCCAAGTTTTTTTTTTTTTGTTTTGTTTTGGGACTCGTACTATAAGCTCATGGGACAAACTTCGTATTCTTCGTTCAGTTAAATATTGAAAGACGATCTTGTATTCGTTGAATGAACTAAAGTATTCGAACATCAAGCTTCATCGCACTTCTACAGCGCGTTTTCGTGGTCTGGCTATCCCCACGTGAAGGGTAGCCAACCGCGCATGTGCATGGTAAACTTCACTATACCTCCCTCCTTCCTTTTTTCCCTCTCTCTTACAGAATGGCAGCAGCAGCGTCAATATACGTCGTGACCGTTACAGTTTGGCTGTTTCGTAAAAAACTTCCAGCGCTAAAAACAACAAAAAATGCCAAGTTTCCAGCGTCATTAACCGTCGAAAGCTACACGATCAGTATCGATCAGCATAAGACATACCTAACGTAAAAAAAACACGTCATAATAAAGATTCACTAGATACGATTAGATCATGTGCTTTACTCGCGAGAATGCAGCTTCTTGTTTTAAAAACAACGTGCGTCCTGTTGTCATTTGCGGCCAGCTGTGTGTCACATGCTCCTCCGACGATCAGCCGACGCGCCATTGTCGGAGCTAACGTTACGACGGTCGGACTTCACCACCATATTGATTGAAAAGAAAGAGGAAGATTGACACTCAGTATGGAAGACAGACACGTTTAATCAGGATGCAGCTTCGTGTGTGTGACGAATGGGAATCCAGAACAGCACGGTGTCGACCCAGGTGGACTCGGACCTGATTGGATTGATTCGTTACCAACTTGCGCGGAAAACCCTCGTGTCGCGATTGCGCTAGTGAGCCACTAGGAGTGAGTCGACCGGGAAAATGTGGCCCGCGAGCGTCCACGCGACTCACAGTGTTGTGAGAGCTACTTATACGTCACCGTTTTCATATTGTAATGGGGAAAGACGATCTTCTCTGAGACTCGACGTGATGCGACTCTGCACACAGAGCAGCGCCGGCTGATATTCTGGCATGCGTCTACGAGCGCGTGCCCCTACCTTTCCTTCTGGTTTTGTATCCACCCAGACGGTGGTGGCTGTTAGGATTAGGTATCGCACCAGCAATCAGTTGGGTCCGGTAATAGAACGTGCCGTATAGCCGTGGAACAACAAGCGGCGGATCGATTATCGGCAAGAGCTTTCTCGAAGGACGTATATCACTCGCTGCAGACGCATAGTTCACGTTCTGATCTCAAACACTTATTTCTTTTGCAGCCGAGGTTACTTTTGCAGCTGAGGAACAGCATACGCTGTAATAGTTTCCTCCTCCGCGGTTTCTCCCTGGTACAACGCAGTATGTTAGTTATTCTGTGATGGAAAACCTTTCCCCTCTGTACGCTTTCTTTCTTTGTCTTCCGTGGCGGTGTCGCGGTTACACTGCTCGGCTGTGGACCAGAAGGTTGCGGGTTCGATCCCAGTGGCGGCATTTCAATGTAAGCAAAGCGCAGAGGCCCGTGTACTGTGCGTTGTCAGTGCACTTTAATGAGCACCAGATCATATGGTCGAAAGTTCCAGCGCCCTCCACGGCGTATTTCATAATCACATCGTGGTTCCGGCACGTGAAACTCTCAGGTGGTATTATTGTTTTCTCCAACACATAATAGTTCTCATATATAGTGCTTGTATTCAGTGATGTTGTACTTCATTCCAATTCAACTCAAGTTATTCAATATTATTTAGATTATGTCAATTAAGGAATTGAGGTTTGTGTATAGTGTTGGCATATACATGCGCATAGGAGGACAACGTCGACGCGTTTGTACATTTACAACGTATGACAGAGTATGCGAACACGCGACAATCGCCGTGTGAAGAGACTTAGTACGCTTGCCCACGTGAGAAAACATGTTCTAATTTTATGAGCCCCTACGCATCGAAATCGGACCTTGTACAGTTAAGAATCTGTTACACTCCCAAAGTATCTTCCAAAATATGGGCCAATCGTCCTTGAAATCCTTGCTAAGTAACAAAAGGAAGATAGTGTAGGTGGTGTAATGAAAATTTTCACGCTGTGTAGATGACGCTATGTGTTTGGTCTTTATAATTACCTGATGATGACCACACGTTCTTGACTAAATCTCACTTCGTAATCTGTGCGCAGGACAAATTGCTCACGAAGCTGGAGGAGCATGAGCCGGAGTTGGCTACAAGTCAAGAAGAGGAGGTAAGTTTGTCACAAACCACAAAGCATCCTTACCCATTTGGTCGTGGTCGTCGAGCAACAGAGTTGGCGAAAAGCCTGCCGGCTATGACTGGGTGAATAACTTAAACAAAGAGCTTCCATGTTCACAGAATAGTAGATACAGAAGACGGCGACAGAGATTTGCGTATAGGCGTAACGCTATAGGCGCTCCACATCGAAGCAGCGCAGTTGTCTTTTGAAATATGCACTATATGAACCTGTTATACGATATAAAGCGTTGCCGTCTTAATATCCAGGCACGCCAGACACAGCTATAAACCCAACCAGCAAATCGAGCCACAAAAAATGGCCTTCCATTCCAGCTAACCATTGAACCAAAAGCAAAAATTTAAAAAAAATTAGAAAAGCAACAAACAAATGTCACGTCCCTGCAGTAGGGGTGTCTTGTAAATGTCCTTGTAACAGTACGCCTATATCGCTGCATTCTTTTCTGTCCCAGTGCGTGGTCTGCGTGACAGCCAAGGCTAGCATGCAGACATTCCCGTGTGGCCACCGCGTCGTTTGCCGCAAGTGCTTCGTCAAGACCATCCAGGTGGCCGTGTCGCAGCGCGTGCTGCCCCTGCGCTGCGTTATTTGCCGCACCAAGATCGTGCGCCTCAAGCACTCGTCGCATGGACACGCTACGCCCGTCACGCCAGGCACACGTGCCCTGCTGGCACCATGCGAAGCGCTGGGTCCGACCCGGCCGACACATCCCTGGCCGCAGGACCTGCGCGGACCCGTTGAACCACTGCCCGCCAGTCATTATCGGCACAGTGCTGAAGCGTGCCGCTTCCACAGGCACCGCAGCTCAGGGGCCAGTTCTTCCACGCTCGCGTCACCCGAAGCGGCCTCGTCGAGCAGCAGAAGCATCTCCATCGGCCGCCGCGTCTCTTCGCCGCTACCGACCAGTTCGGGAGCCTCCAGTCCGACGTCGAGCTGCCCCACGAGCCCCGAGGACGTCCCCGAGGTGCCCAGAGGGCGCCGCAGCTGCCTCACGCGAGCGGTGGTCCATCCGCCACCACCACTTCACTCGCCTCCGACGCAGCCACCGAAAGCCGCCTGTCCCCCACCACCACTGCCGGCGCGAAGCCCCAGGACTCCAGTTTCCGAGTCTCCTTTCGGTACGCCAGAGAAAGAAGCGGCCAAACCGACGACGCCACCTCCGAGGGCAACCGCCACTACGAAGACGAAAAGTCCGGATGGATCACCAAAAGAACGCGTCTCTCATGCACCAACCAAGACATCACCGGACCGGCCTTCACCACCCAGGCTTCAGCCTCCACCGCCGGTGAAGTCACCGTCTTCACCAACGGCGCCGTCGACGACGGCAAAGAACGCTGGCGCGGTGCTTTGTCCAGCGGCGTTGTCCAGCGTGGTTCTGGCTCCTCCGCCCGCCGAGGTTCGCAGCCGCCGTGGTGGTCAGCACCGAGTGAGTCCGGCGGGAAGCGTCACTGCACCGACGGTACTGCCGCTCACGGTACGGCCGCCGCCACCCAAGCCGCGGCCACCGTCACGCTTCGAGAGGTTCCGCGACCTGCACGTGCGGCGGCCCACGTTGTTGCTACCGATCCCGGAGAAGGAAGAGTCCGAAGCACTACTCGAAGCGGCCTTCTGCCGCGTGGCGCCCGGTGCATCCGACCTTCTGGTCAGCGCCTCGTCACCCAAGATTGTGCTGCAGGACCGAGCGCCTCTGCTTCAACCGGATTCGCCGGACCGCCGGCGGACTTCGCTGCGCAGCCAGCTGCGTTCCAAGATGGCGGGCTTTCCGAGCCTGCTGGGATCGCCGCTGAGGGCGCTGCGAGGCGGCGCACGTCATAGGCGTGTGCCAGACGTCAACTAAACGCCGGCTTCCTCCAGATAGAGGAGGCTTGATTGCCACGAGACGAGGACCTCCGGGCGAAGGTCGCCCCCTTCGTGGCGGAGGTCCCCGAGGCCAGTCACGGCCCCCCGACGACAACACGGCGAGAGGGCAGCGACTACCCTTCAAAGTAACCCCCGCGGCCCCCGCTCAACAAGAGCCGCCATTCGCGCCCTGTAAGGCAGCAGCCGATACAAAACACCGAGTACCGGACACACAACCAGGAGCTGCCCGCAAGGTCCAGTGGACGAGCACAACGAAAATTAAGGTGTCGCTCGACGCCTGATGGCAGGCAGCAGCGCCCACGGCTGCCTCGTGAGAAGAACGTGCCAAAGAGGGGCCCCCCTCCCAACCCCCTGGTGTCTGTACATAGGCAATCTCTTCCCGTAGTCTTCCCACAGAGTCGTCCACCCGAGTTCAGTATTGAGTGTCGTGCAACCGAGGCCGCGGCGGCCAATCGCGCCACGAGTGCCATACCACTTAAGCTCAGAGAGGGATTGGCAACGTATGCTCAGCAGGCGAGCCACGTCGTTGAAATGGTTGAATATAACCTAAAATAAGCGAAACTGCAGATACGAAGCAAATACCTCCTCCCTCGAGAAGTTCGAACTAATGGCCTGCGCAGTTTTCATGCTGATTGAAAAAATCTTGAGAGTACAAGCATAGCACCCACATAGACGCCAGCAGATAACATAAAAGCTAACTACAAGCGATGATAGCAGTTTAATGGCAGGAACATGGACGATTATTTAGCTACCAGATTCATTAATACTTCCAACTGTTGAAGGGCCTTGCTCATTTTAATGGTTCTCTATGCGCTATGATACAGGACAAAACGCATGTGGTCGGTCTACTGAGATAGAAAACTTTGTACAAGCTTTCGAAGTAATCGCAAGTGAAAACACTTTCGTCTGTTCGCGGGACCCTTAAAATACGGAGAAAATCACTATAGTCACCCTAGGTGCTTTATGAACCATCAGAACGCATCTTCTTTATCCTGGAACAATTTTAATCGTCCCATAAAGGAGACGTTGGTCACATTCATTCGCACAGCATCTCGATAGTGGGAGCGAAAGAAACGGAAGTGCACGAATCGGCTGCGCCGATGAACATTTGCGAAGCTGCTCTAGGGTTAGTAACTTCTACGATAAGAAAAGTCTGCTAAATAAGCACGTTGGCATTAGGCTTTTAGCTTGATCTTCCCTCTCTTCTTCCATGTAATGCCTCGGCCACGTGCGCACGAAGCGACGATCGCCGAGAACAGATCTCTCAATGTCAAAGTGATAACGTCTCCTATGTTAAGATCATAATCTTATCGCAAAGCAGTTATGCGCCTTGATGTACCAGGACCAGTTTTGTACCGGCAGTCGTCATAGAGTCGCATTGTGCTCAGTGGTGTGGCGTCAACGGGCAGCAGCGCTAGCACATCGGAAGGACCGGTGGGTTGCAGGAAGGTCATCTCGTGGCCTGTAAAAAAAGGGGCGCCGCCAAGCGTGGCGGAGGTGTAGCTGCAAAGTTTCTCGGAAGTCATGCGGAGCCTGTACGACGTCGCAGCTTCGAGGCCGGACACATTAACCTCTAGGTCAACGTCATGTCGCTGTGTAAAAAAAGAAATCTTAATAGCTGACACAGATTTCATCGATAACATTTATCGAAGGACTGTGGCTAACCACGAACGAGTTGGAAGGACAGCCGTTTTCGAACTCTTTGACTCGCGCAAACAGCTCCGTTTTATGAGTTAACGTGCCTTCAGTGATCACGTGGTCACATGATCAATGATCACATGAGAGCGATCGTGTGAGGAAAGCTGATACTACAAACGGCCTTCCGATGACGAAACCGGAGACGCATCCTGCTTCGCATGTCGGCTGCCCAGACTGCCCATTCAGTGAAACCCTAACTCAAGGTATGGTCGTAGGCGGCATAGTGAGTAAGCTCAGTGCATCTTCCTTTTCTTTCACGTTGTGTGAGCCACCCTCCGATGTGCAGGCGTGGCCGCCGCGGGCCTCGGTGCAGTCGGTGTGCCTTAGGCCAGTGCTCCGCCGTCGAAGTCTCCACGCTCTCCAGGCTCGCTAAGAACACACGCTCTTTTCAAGGCGTTCTTGCAATACATCTGCGCCGCACCGGAGGGAGCGCGGCGTTTAGCTAACACCCAGTCTTGCCAGCTTGCAGGCACATGTACAGTGGCCCTTGCGGCACCGTTTACCATGTATACAGGCATGACTCTACGCGAGAGCTGTATGGAATCGCTTACTGTCCCATCAAAACTCAAAGGCTTCACGCTGTCTACGTGGTTCGGGTAGGAGTTGCGGGCCCAGAACACTCACGCCATGGAAGACCTGACAGACGGACTGATCCTGTGACAGCGTGCCTACAGAATATTGTTGCCCTAAGCTGCTTCTAGAGAGTTAACTATATAATTATATAGCATCGCCGTTTAGTACCGACAAGCAATGATGCTAAACTAATCGGTGCCCTTGTGGGGAACTGTTACTGCTGACTACGAGCTGATAACAGATATAAAATATTGACAGGAGTGAGTTTTGTGTGCTAGAGCACGTCGTGAAACTGATTCAGCGTAGGAACAAGGTGTGGACAACTTGTTTGGTGGCAAAGATTCGTATCATTTTTAACTGTGGACAGCACTTGCCGGGACAGTAATACGGTCGAATGAACGCAGACATGGGCTCACGTGGAATACCATTAAAGTTCTTCTATACGTTCATGAACATGAACAAGAACAGACGAAATCGAATTAGCAACATTTGACGGTGTAGCCATACACTTTGAGCCTATGGGCTTGTACTACCACGCTGTGGTCGTTCTGCAGTGTGCGAAACAACAAACTTGCGTCGTTTAAAGTAAACCAGACACATGCGGATCGAATGATCATGATGTGTCCCAGAGTGGATAAAGTTTCATGCAACGTCTACGGCGGGTTATACGTAACGTAGAACAATCAAATTGAGTGGTGTGGAAGCATCTTCAACTATGGTTTTGCATTTCAAACGCAATCTGTCTTGAACCGAGTGTCCTTAGCTGGGGGGAGACGTTATCCTAAAGCAACGCATTTACAGAGAAAAGCACTACGTTGTAGGAGTTCGCCTTTCTATCCCTTTTGGCGTTGCTCTTCTCCCTAAACATACTTGGAGGCTGTCAGTGAACAGAATAAACTACACTCCACGTCGCAATGGGCAAGGATAGCATTTCTTCGAATCAGCATAGTACAACTTTCTCTCAACTGCCACACATACACATGGTCTGTAAGAATCGCGCGTGCGTTTTTGTAAGCCGAACCAGTATAGCGTTTTTCCCCTATTTAGAACAGTACATTCAGGAAAGTTAATTCGATGTCCTCCGTATGCACTTCGTCACGAACGACGACGCATTCCCTCAATTCTTTCAAGCCACTGGCGACTCGCTGAGCGGTCGCACTCAATTACGCATTTATCGCGCCTCTTTCTCATTTCACGCATCAAAGGCATGCCATGCTCGTCTCGTGCTAATTCCCGATTACGTATTGATTGATGATTGTATTAGTTGCTGATTCTTGAAAGACCATTGCTATACCGCAATAACCAACCCCTCTAAACCGTTTCGTCGTCCACTCCAATGACGCGCCTATATTCCACGCCACTAAAGCGTCTGTTATGTCATGATATTAAACCAGGCAGAAGTGAGCTACCGAGCACGAAGTAAGAAAAGACATCACCCATAGACTAACAGTCATGAACGTGTACACTTGAAAGTTGCCTGTAGCTACCATAGAAAAATTGTCAAGTTCGCATGGCAAACTTGAGAATTTCCAGGCGTTTCGAACTACTGCAGCATCAATACGCCTATAGAAGATGCCAGTGGCCTCTCAAGCTGGCATAACTTTAAAGCACGCGATAGCGGGGTGAGCTTGGGAGCAAACATCGCAACGTTTTTTTCCGTATGACCATATGCGAACGTTCGTGGATCGGCGATGTCTCGCGGCAAGTTGGCGTGCTCCGCGAAAAAATTCCCTTCTGGGCAAACGAAGAAAGCGCACGATCTCAGGAAGTGGGCGACGACTCGGCGTATCGACGGTGATCTCTCGTCAAGCGATTAAATCGCGCCGCGCTCGCTCTCCTATACGCGTCCTTGTGCTGCTTCGACTACGAACGCAAGCCTTTACAAGCGAAGCTTTAACGGTGTAGACGACTCACGATCACCTCCTGCTGTCGTATAGCGTCGTGATGTACACCACGGGTGAACACTGCGCAAAGTGCATTTAAGACGACGTTAAGCTTCTATATATATATAAATATATTTCCCAATCAGAACGGTGGCGATTAGTGTTTCCCAAAGCGTATACATCGACGAAGTTCTGGGCCTGCCTGCCTCACCGGTGCGGCGCATGTTCCGCCGAGCGCGACGTCTAGCGACGAGCGTGGGGACTTCTAACGGTCTCTTATCTCTTTCTCCGCGGAGCGTACAGAGATGCTATATACACTAAACAACACACTGTTATTCTACGGGGGTGAATAAAGGATGTTAGAGAAAGAGAGGACCCACGCTGTGCTTTACTACCTTCCAGCGGCAGCCATGGTAACCACGTGTGCCTGGTCGCCGTGGATGTAGCTGTAGTGCACACGGATTCAAACGGGCCAATTTATGGCTAAGCAATGCGTGTTGTTTTGTTTCCAGCATCTGCAGTTTGTGTTATGTCAGCGTAAGTTTGACCCAAACATTTACATCAGACCTAGCGTTGTCTTTGGCGGCCAGATTCAGATAGACATGACGCGGTTATAGTGAGTAATTTGCAACTTTAGCGACCTATTGGTGGCGCGATTATACATCCAACATGGAGGTCGTTGAGATGATCGCCCCGAAAGGAATGATACCGGAAAGTACACTTTTGGAGAAGACTGCGGTTCTTCGCGTTTTGGTGTTTTTGAGAAAGTAGAGAAGCGCTGATATACTATATTAAGTAAATAAGTGCCGGGTAGCATACTGGGAAGAGAAATATGGGCAAAATTGTATCGTATCGAGCAGACGAACTAAGCGCGAGAACTGCAAACCTGGAAGTTCCTGTACTCGTGCAGAAAAAATGGGTGCTGCATACATTCACGGGTCTTGGTTATTTGCCTGCTAAATCTATCCCTCGTAACCCCGGATGGCTTCTTGGGGTGCTAATTTGAACGGGACGCTTAATTTTACTTTCGATGTATATAGGCTGTGAGCATCGAGGATCGCAGTAAAATCAGTCGGCTTTTTCTTTTTCTTTCTACTTTCCCGTAAACTTGATAAACTCAAAAGGTTAAGTTAATATCAAGACCGTTCACAACGTTGAAAAAACGACCACAAACGCGTGAAAACAATCAGCAGCGTCTGCTGTTTGAAGCAGGTTCAAAACTTCAATCATCTCAACAGAGCTTCCGGCCGCCACCGCTCAGTGGCGCCACGGTACCTGGACGTTGCGAATTGCTCGTATAGAAGAAAAACGATGCCGCGTTTGAGTACGTGAGTGCTGTACGTGTTATGAAACCAGAAACCATCCTCATTTCCCTGAATGCCTCTATTTCGCTCACAGGTGAGAAGAAAGACGGATCATCATTGAGAATCGGTCACAACGGGCCAGAATTGGAACATACTTGTTACGCGTGTCTGTACTTTGTCACGCCGTAACGAATGCTGCTCATCCCCCGCATCTTCCATCGCCACATTTGTAAATGATAATTCCACGGGCATGACGTCCCGATACTTTGAAAGTGAGTTTCTTCTTCAAAGGTAAGCAATGCCTATAGGGAGGGTAAAAATGTATGCGTATCAAAGAGGAAATTGGTGATGGTTTTCTTCCGTTTCAAAATGCAATCGTAAATTTTTAGTGCAATTCAAAAATTAAGGAACGCATTCTAAAGTTCCCGAGTATGTTTTGTTCTTTCGAGTGCTCGAGATGACACGGAGAGAGAATCGAACCACCATTGAACTCTAACTAAAGATGAATCGACTGCAAGGATAGAGAAACAGTGATCCAGAGCTGCGCACGGTTTATTGTTCTCCAGCCAGATCAGAGAGCGGCGATAGAGTACACTACACTTCACAAGAACGAAATGGTTGATTGTATTTTGAGTACCTCGACAGTACGCTAAGTGGCACTGTTAAGCTATCACTACCATACACACACGCTTAAAGGAAAAAAAAATGCGTTGCAGAATTAAACTATCATTATGTGAAAACAACACTTGCGCGATAAATGGAGCAATCAAAAAGCGTTCGAGAGAAAACTAGGAACAAAAACAAAGTGTAAACTATTCCACAGAGCTTCGAAACGGTTCCACTAGAGTTCCACGGAGAAACAACAAGACAGTTAAAGCGTTTAACAATAAAAATCTATAATAAATCGTGACAAACACTATAGCAGGCAGCGAAAGAGAAGTTGTAAAAAAACCAATAGAATAGAAAAGCTCACGTCTTCTAAGTGGTCCAAGAAGACACGAACATATATAAGGCCGCGAAAGTGCCATCAGTTTGCGAAAAAAAAAAAAAGTGAGCACGAAGCCTACGTCTCTCAAGGAGCAACGCAAACCAAATCTCCCGCTCTGCTGCTCGCGAGATAGTCCTCCCACAGTTCAAGCATCGCCTACGCTCTCTTCGTGCGTCGACGTGCAGCCGAGGCCGTTCACCAGTACTGCAGCTTTGTCTGGGTGAGCAGGAAGAGCGGGAACGGCTGCAGGCGGTTGGCCAGCGTGGCGGTGCGGCGCCATCGGTGTGCGCGGTACGCCCTCTGCAGGGTGCGAGCCGCGCGCTCCAGGCGAAGCCGCTCGCACCCGCGCACGAAGAACTCGGCGAGGACGTGCGCCGCGCGCTGTTCCTGTTGGCGCTTCATGGTGCCCGACACGGGCCGCATGTCGGCCCGGCGAAGCTCCGGGTAGGCGGCCGCCGCGTCGGCCTCCAGGCTGCGCCGCAGCGGCTCGCACAGGGGCTCGTACATGTTCATGCGAACGCGCAGAAGGGACTGCAGCAGGTGGACGTAGTGGACCTGCGTTCAGAGGCCGCGAGCTCTTTCTCAGTTGGGTTGCGTGTTCCGATTTTAATGTATTTGTTGAACACGTCACACGATGGACATGAGCCAGGCATGTAGCGCGTAGACAGGATAACCGCTGGTCATTAAGGGTGACTAACTGGATTCCCAGAGAGACAAGCGGGTTAGGGGGAGACAGAAGGTTAGGTGGGCAGATGAGATTAAGAAGTTTGCGGGTGTAAACTGGCAGCAGCAAGCACAGGACCAAGTTAACTGGCGGAACATGGGAGAGGCCTTTGTCCTGCAGTGGACGTAGTCAGGCTGATGATGATGATGATGATGATGATGATGATGATGATGATGATGATGATGATGATGATGATGATCACGTCACATCGCAACGTTTCCTCCAAATTCAGTTCTGTGTCGGAGTACTATAGCATTAACAGTGGGTTAGCTCGGTTACGTTGTTCCCTAAGGTGACTGTTTTGACATGCTGGTAAGACATAATCGACATTTCAACTCGAGGCTCCGTGGGCGCCGTCATAGTCATCTCTGGGCTGTTAGTGCGCGCGACTCCCCAAAAAATGCACTGCCGAGGCTTTGAAATTGGTATTTTTCTTCTCGTGCAACAGCCCAGAAAGGAGGAAATCCTCTTTTCCGTAAAAAAAAGGTTCACAGGAAGTGTAAAAGCACTGAAGGCGAGGACAGAGAAGAACCTTGAGACACACGAGCGCTGCACTCCGTCCTCGTATTTTGTGTTTTTTTAGTTTTTGTCAGGTTACGTTGCATGTTGGTTTTTATCAGGTTACGTTGCACACGTTACATGTTATAAAAGAAGGCTCACACTGCAAGCCACGAAAAAAACATTAATTGCTCTAAACTGCCCTAACTTCACATTAAAACGTAATTTGTGTCATGACTAGACGTCGATATTAATAAATAAATTGGTCATCAGTGTCTTAACTATTGTGCGATTTCATAAACCTGGCTGTTACATCAAGAGCACCGGGTGATTTCGAGGTTTCCCTCACTATGTTCGGTAGTCTGACGAACCCTCGGGAAAAACGTTCCGCTATGACTCAAACCATAGTGCTATATGCTATAGGAATGGCGAGTTCTTTCGTTTGTTTATTTGTTTGTTTGTTTGTTTTTAGCTATACGGTACAGGGAACAATGCAGAGAGCAACCTTTGGTAAGAGGGCGCTGTAGCGGAGTGAGCCCCCCACTTGGTTTCAGGAAGGCCTGCCCTAACGGTAAGAGTTATCGCATGATTTCTTAACCCCCTGCTTATCGAACGTGTAATAGTATGCTAGACATATCTTTAAAGAAGGCGCGTTTGTACCTGCGTATAGTTTTATCACGGAGGATTCTGTACATCCAACATCGACTACAGCATGACGTGATGACTTTGAAAATGTTGGTACCATCCAATATTGAAGCGTAAAAAGCTGCCGTGGCATGCAGCAATTGTCTATTTTGAGCGTAGTACGAGAGGTCAGCCGGGTAATATGCGGAAAGTGACTTAACTGACCACGGATCGAAGAGAAATTCCTATATACGTCGGATTCCCTAGCCCAGAGTACTTTTCCACCCAGTTCTATAAGCGCGATCGTGAGGCGGTTTCCTTTCTCGGCATATATTTCTTATCAATTCATGGTCATGATCAACCAAATATCACAAAAACGCACTGATGGGTATGTTTGCTTGTTCTTAACTTCACAGACCTCACGAAAACGAAATTGGTATTAGTGCCTGAGTCACTTCTACATGTGCTGTTACAATAAGCTGAATTACGTCGTTTGTTATGATGGACTCTTACATTAGCTACCGCTTCAAGTGCTCGATGTAGCCAGGAAACTGCACATTTTTTGTCTAGTTTCTTGGGTATAGCCTAAATTTAACCAGGACCTAATTAAGTGTTCCGTGGTCCGTATTTCTCCTCCATTCTGATGATTCTTCGTAAGGCATTAATACTTTGTTGACGTTCGCCGAGAAATACCCGCGAGTATTTAATGTTGCCGTAGATCCCGCTCTACACAAGTTTTACATGTGCTCCACGCATTTATATATCTAATAGTTAAAAAAGAACAAAAAAGGGCGGTGTCCTCGACGCGCGATACGGGGCTAAATGTGTAGAAGCTATATATTCCCAGGAACATTTACCGCTTCGGCGAACTCGGAATTAATAATGCACGAGATGGGGACACATCTCTGCGGTACGTAATTCATAGCCATAAAAGGGCGCTGAATGTTTCATGTCCCTGATTCATGCAGTTTTATGGCTTTGCAATAAACTGAATAAATTCATGGTACCGAAAACAAGAACATGCTCGTAAAATTGAACTGAAGCGAGGTAAAGCAGGCACATCGGAATCTATGACTCAGCTTCGAGGACACCTGAGCACGAAACTTTCCGCTCTAATAACAAACAACCCCAGATGCATGGACGTTACTGCTATATTGCAATGCACCGTCGATGCAAAAGTGGCTTGAATCTGTGACACAATAACTGTGTCACAGATTTTCAGTCTTTCGCGTGCACGTGCGGAAGAATAAGCTCCTCCCACCATACTGCCGCTTTCGCTTTATGAAAACATGGTGTTTTCTCGGTACACTTTAATAAATTCGGCGTTTTGAATAATAATGCGAGAGTAATGGTCATAACGTCTCCGCGTCCAAAAAAGTACTGCGCCAAAAACTACCTAAAAACTACTTCGCTATTGTGATGACACTGTAGCCGATCAAACGAGAAAAGTCTTATCATACTAGACACCAAGTGAAAAAAAAAAAGATGTATAAATAAGGTATTACAATTGGAACCATGGCAGAAAAGCGCAGTGGAAAATCAGAAGAGAAAAAAATACGTCCCACAGAACTGCAGAGTTTCATATTTTCATCTGCTGCGCCTCGCTTTCAATTCTGTTTACTTGAAAATCGGGAAGGGGCATTGCTGGCTTTACGCTGACGGCTTAAGAACAAACGAAACTCGTAAGTAATAAAGTATATCGCAATTTCTTTTTGTTTAACTCCGTTTTCCATTGGGGGTGGGGACCGCGTATGTGTGGTGAGGCATCATGCTACGCAATAGATTGTACGGCGCAAATTGCACCACCCATTTTTCAGACGTGACTCCCATCGTGATTTCCACATTACAATGGTGAAAGGCCCCTTAGGACATTCTTTTTAAAAGGCACAATAGAAGTAACGATGGCACTCTGGCAATTATTAACAAAAAATATTACAGGCTGTTTCCTTTCATTGTCTTGTGTTAACAAGCCCCCATGGAAGCTCTAGTCGGCACCTCCTCGCCAAGACAAAAACAGAAAGTCGGCAAGCGTTGAAATAAAACTCACAAAAAAGGGACCGTTCATAAGGCAGCCCATTATAAACACGCCGTGAGCTAGAAATAAGCACACGTTCGTTGCTGAAGCTTCACACGTCTCACATTCGCGAGCTTTTCTTTCGGTAGCCTGTAATAAATGTGTTTACATATACGCCCAAGAAAATCCGCACATTTATTTCTTCAGAACGGTATATGAGTTGCTTTTATGACAACATTTCAAGCTGACCAGAAAGAATTTCAAAAAAGCTTCGTTGTCTTTCGTATTATACGCTACATACTTTCCGGATCGATATTGCACAGCTAACACACACTAACAGGCTATAGCTCAACGCCTCACTTTTTAAGAGCTTCTGGCTGCAGTCGCACTCAGTAAGCATGAACACTGGTTTTCATTCATTACTATTTAGGAAGGCAAAGCGTTCAATACATGAATGGAGCGATGAATGGTGTGTCACTCTCGTGTTTAGTAAAAAAAAAGTTCAGCAGCTTGTTCAAACATTCTGTAACACGTCAAAGTGAATGCCTGCTTCACACTTGGTAGCGCGTTCAGTTACACAAGTGGTACCAAGATTCTTGCACGACATATCGATCCGTAATGTGATACACAAACATTAGGTTACCTTGAAGATCTCAATTAGTGCATTGTTCAATTCCTGAAGCCCTGAGCACTTCACGCGGTACTGAACTACCTCCGGAATCGGCCCATCTTTGAGCAAGCAACCATGGCATGTGATGACGTCAACAAGTGACGATGACGTCACGTGATTGCATTCTGGCGCTGTCACAGATGTGGCATCACGACGACGGCACCGGCACAACGTTACGCCATTAGGGAAGTATGTAACGTGAGTTTCTGTAGTAGTTCATTCACCTGCCATTTTTCGCTCAACAGTGAAAAACTTACGGGCTTCGTCTCAAAAACAATAAATCAGCAACCTAGACAACTATGGCTCATTAAATTGACAGGCAAACCAACCAATCAGTTCGAAGCGTCTCACCCTGTCCCCACTTAGCAAGGGCACGTCCATGATGGCCAGAGCCAATGTGTTTGGCCGGGGCAGCCGCAGAGGACGCGGGAGCGAGTCCAGCAGGACTGGAATCGCGCGCAGCGGTAGAGTACGCCGCGCGGCCACGTCGAGTTTGGCCCAGGCGGCCGCGAAGTCCACCAGGTCAGCGTCCGACAGCCCGCTTAGCTCCGTGTTCAGCGCCTGCAAGCAAGTGTACGCGTTGTGCTGACGTGGGAGGGAACCACCCACTACGTTTGTTTTGTAATCTGTGACGCTGAACACCGACGGCGAACGCCCGCTGAGTGAGTCCTATAATTGTAGTCACACTGAAATGAATTTCAAGTGATGACATTAAGTTCGCACAGGCTTGTCCTCGATGTTGGACTTCCCGGGGCTGACAGTACTTAGAACGCGACATCAGAGGTAGTAGCCCACCATTATCTTCAAAAGCTTGCATGGTGATAACTCTCCGCATTGTACGAAGGGGTGGGGTGTTCATTACGTCCCTTTCTGACCTTCTGGATGATTATGGTGGGAGCGACCCCTTCTCCTCCAGCGCGCAGTCGTATGACGCAGATGTGCTGACGAATCGAAAGCCTGTGTTATAGAAGCTCAGACGGTAAGGCGTTCGCCTTCGGAGGCAGGGGTCATAGTTTCGATACTTAGCACCATCAAAAACGTTTTATTTTATTTAGAAATTTGTTCATCTATAGTTATCATTCTGACGCTGAATTGGGCTGGACAGACGGACTGTTAGTCTTTTGAAGTTGCCATGAAAATACTCCTTCGTTTAGAAACTCGACTCATGATATACCTTTGGAGTCACAGTAGCAACGTGTAAGCGGATAGTTAAAACTCTCCGCTAGCGGCCTTCAATGAAACGTTGCTGTCGGTGGCGTCAACCTGGTGTCATCCATTGTCTATCTTGTGTTCGTCAGCATCGGGAACAGCGCCCAGTCATATACTTCATTGTTTATGTCGCATGTACAGTGCCGATCAAAATTTCGGAGACCACGGCAGTGCGTGGCGAACAGTGAGGTGGCGCCTTCTCACGGCTACCAGAGAAGCTCGAGGGCGCGCACTGCGCATGCGCACCCTCTTCTACCTGCCAGCCGGCGCTTTCGCTTCCTTCAACAGCGCGCACAGCGGAACGCGCGAAAAATCGCAAGATGTCATTTTTACAGTCGCAGCGGAAGCACTGAGTGAGGGTATCGTGACCAAAATACGTCACTTGTAGTGGCCGTGCTCCACGGCGGCGAGAACGGGTACATATGGCGTGGTTTGCCAAGAGTCAACACTGAAAGAACCCCAGGTGGTCGAAATTTCCGGAGCCCTTCACTACGGCGTCTCTCATAATCATATAGTGGTTTTGGGACGTTAAACCCCACAAATCAATCAATCAACACTGCTCGGTAATTTTATCACAGTTGTCGATAAAAAAAAACTGACACAATGCGCATTTATTCCCCGCCGCGGAACGTCTAAAAACAAGGGCGCGGAAGCGGCGCACAGCGAGCACTGCCACTACAACGTACTTTTGTTACGATATGATCGCTCAATTTTATTTTATTTTTTATTTACAATACTGCTGACCCCAGTTAAGGGGTCGTAGCAGGGTGGAAAGAAACGTGTGCTACATTTCACAATAAAACAGACAATACGAACGCATAACATACATAAAAAACATTGAACTGATTGCCAATTCACAGTGGCGCGTGAATAAGATCTTGCGAAGGGCACAAAAAAGAAAAGAAGAAACCGATACACGCATTGCAACAACACACACTGCAAATAGAAGAGTACACGTTATTGCCCGGCGAGTGCAGTATACACCGAGAACATGAACACGTATCAAGTGATCAACAAGACAGAAAAGTTTAAAAGTCAAGTAGGCTTTCAAATTTGTTAATATCAGTTTGCTCGACAACATGACTTTCAAGGCTATTCCATTCATTCACTGTTCTTGGAAAAAAAGAATACTTAAAGACATTGATTCTCGGCTGGAAGGAGGTTAAGTTCAGCGAGTGACGGTGGCGGGATGAATGACCTGAAGAAAAATACGTTAAGTATTGATGAGTATCGCTTTTGAGAAGGTTCTTCACAATTTTAAAAAGAAAGCGTAAGCGGCATAATTTATTTCTGTCTGCAATGTTCAATAAACCAGCCTTGACTGCCAGTTCCGAAACTGATGCGCGGCCATAGCAATTAAAGATAAAACGGACTGCTTTATTTTGTACACGATTTAATTTAGATAAGTTAGCCGCCGTGAAAGAGTCCCAAATTACATTTCCATAATTGAGAATTGGTAACACGATGCTTTTATAGGTAACACAATGCTTCCGCGGCTACTACAAAAGTGGCACCTTGCCTTTTCTATGGCGTTCCAGTATAAGCGCAGTTGAAGAGGGCGAAAGCGCAGACTGGAAGAAAGAGAAGGACGCGCTTGCACAGTGCGCGCTCTCGAACTTCTCTGGTAGCCATGATAAGGCGCCATTGGCCCGGTGATACCATTCGGAGCGAATTATTCTGGATAGACGTCGGGCGTGAAAGGGAGAAGGCTGGAGCCATCCACGTCTTCTATGCCTTGCACAGCTGCAATGCCAGAAAGCAAAGCTTGCTTCCTGGCAAGCAAGGTGTGCTTCCTGGCATTCCAGGCAGCGAATGTGCCCGTCAGATCTTCAGGACATGTGTGGATGGCTACAGTCATCTCCCTCGGTTTAATGTGTTTAAAGACTGCTTGTGAGTGCAGAACTGTGCTCGTGGTGAATTATTTTCTTCATGGAACGACCTGGCCGAAACCTACACTGAGGTACTTTGAAATGCTGCTACCAACGCCGGTGACAAGGAATAAGTTGCCTAGCGAAAAGCGGGACATCCTGGTACTGGCCGACTGCCAGGCACCCGAAGAGCCCCTTCATGTTCTTAAAATGGGACCCACGTTCTGTCCGGCATCTACCCCTGACGGATTTGAGAATCTCGCCTTGGCACGGTCAGTAGCACAAAAAGTTCAGGAAGTGGACAGTTTGCATTGTGTTAAGGAATGTGTTTCAACTTTGTCAAAACGAAACGAGAGGGTGGGTGTACTTATAAGCAAACTGGGCCCGATTATTAAGTTCTTTGTTTCTAACAGCCTGAGGCTTGTTACTGCTGATAAGGAAGGGTGTTTTGTTGTTCTATCTGAAGAAAAATACGCTTCGAAGGCGTATGCTGCTATCAGGAAAAGGTTTAATAAAGTTTGAGAAAAACCACCTGAAGTTGAGAAACGAGCCATTGCTTTGCTGGAAGCTAGCAACATGTGCCGACTTGCAACTTCAGTGAAAAGAGCGAAAAAAAAAAATCGCATCGGAGCCATTTCTTTTAGCGAAAACCCATAAACAAGACATTCCTAGCTTTTCGAACATTAATTACGGGACGAATCACATGGCAACATGAAATTTCAGCGTTCCTCCAGTTTCACTTGTCTGCCTTGAACTTTCGGAACCCTTTCCTGGTAAAGGGATCAAAGCAGGTTGTCGAATTCTCAGCAACCAAAAAACTACTTTTTAAAACTTGAATTCTACTCTTGTATTTTGGGGTGATAAGTTTTACGTTCAAACGTCTGGCACTTGTATCGGCTCTCGTGTATCGCGATGGTCTTGTTTGACATATTTTCAAGGTTTTTTTGAAAGGGCTTTGAAAACGACACTGAATAGCCTTGTAATTAATGTCTTCAGGTATGTCGATGATTACCTTGTGCTCGCTCCTTTTGCTTCCTTGGAACAAAACCGGGATAAGATTATAGAAACCTTCAAAGAAAAAGAATGGCGTCGCACGGACGACATCCCGCAATGTGATATTTTGCAGTTTCTCGATTTTGAGTCATCTTTTCACGCAGATCACCTATGCTGGTCTTATTCTCCCCGTGCAAAGAAACCAATCCCAGATTACTCTTCTTTGCATTCCAAAGTAGTAAAATCGGGTATTGCGATTAACCTTCCCAATTCTGCTGTAACGAAATCCTATTACCACAAAATTGCCCGGGAATTTCCAAATCAAATAATCAGATTGCGAGAGGCACGCTTTCCGTTTACTGTTCTAATTTTCGCCGCTCAGGAGGTATTGCGAATGAAGCAAGGAACGAGATGCCCCGTAAGAGATGCAGATAAACGACGTAAGCTTCCGGTAGTCCCTTATGTGCACGGGTTCTCGCATGGGATAACAAATGTGCAAATAAAGTTTAAACTTGACGTTGTATTTTCCGCCAGCAGAAAGTTACAGCAAATGCGTTCAAGAATTGACTCGAAAAGCAGATTGAAGGCAGGCCTCGCGAAGAAAGGTTGTGATGTTAAGCGTACCAATTGTTTCACCAACGTCGTTTATTGCATCCCGGCCCAGCCACGGTGGTTTAGTGGCTAAGGCTGCTGGCCCGCAGGTCACGGGTTCGAATCCCGGCTGCGGCGACTGCATTTTCGATGGAGGCGAAAATGCTGTAGGCCCGTGCGCTCAGATTTGGGCCCACGTTAAAGAATCCCAGGTGGACGAAATTTCCGGAGCCCTCCACTATGGCGTCTCTCATAATCATATGGTGGTTTGGGGACGTTAAACTCCGCATATAAATATTGTATCCCACTGTTTGTGGCAAATTGTATGTTGGGCAGACTAGGCGCTGCCTGAACGTTCACCTGCAAGAACACTATAATGCGCTGAAGTCGGCCCCGGGTTTACATTTATCTGCCCATTACACAATGCGTGGCTGCGTATACCTGAATTTTCGCGCACGTATATATAATACGTCTACCGTCACACAAAAACTAGAGAGATTGCGGAAGCTTTTTTCATAAAGAATATTGATAGATGTGTCAGCTCACCGCCTGTATCACTGTTATATAGATTGTGAAATCTTGTTTCTGGACGACACTTGATCACAATGGAAGCTTCTTTCTTGTATTTCCATTTCCCTTCTTGTCTTTCTGGTAAATATTATCTTCGTTGAATAAACCAAGTTTAAGCCTGCACTCGTTTGTCTCCTCTCTTGCGCCCCGATAGTTTGCGTTCCCAATATTTCATTGTGTGCTGTTAGAATTCCGTTTGATTTTTTCCTAAGGGCCCCTTCGTGGTGGTTTAGTGGCTAAGGTACTCGGCTGCCAACCCGTAGGTCGCGGTATTGAATCTTGGCTGGGGCGGCTGCATTTCGGATGGAGGCGGAAATGTTGTAGGCCCGTGTGCTCAGATTTGGGTGCAGGTTAAAGAACCCCAGGTGGTCGAAATATCCGGAGCCCTCCACTACAGCGTCTCGCATAATCATATGGTGGTTTTGGGACGTTAAACCCCACATATCATCCTTTTTTTTCCTATGGTTCAAACTCAAAGATTTCGTTCATTGGTTTGCACAGAATTTGTCGTGTCGTATCATCGAAAGCCAACGTTGGTTGAATCTTTATTGTAATATTCCGGAGGTTTGAAGTCGGGCCGTTTAATTCACTGATTTGCGCATGATCACTTGTGCCTAATCGGAACACATTTCGGCTTATTGCCCAAATTTGAGCTCAGGGATTTTCGTTCACTCAACTGACTTGCACATAGTGTGTCGTGCCGTGTCGGTACAAGCACATTTGGCTTATTACCCAGATTCGAACTCAAGGATTTTTACTCATTGGACTCATTTGCACACGTTTTGTCGTGCCGTGTCTGTAGAGGCCTGTTTGGCTTACTCCAGAGGTTTGAACTCGGGGATTTACATTACATTGAACAGAATCGCACACAATTGTTCTATGCCATGTCTACTTAAAATTCGTGTCGATTTGTTTTGTTATATATTATTGTTTTGCTTACTGTACTATTGTTGTATTCTTTGCTTTTAAATTATGTTTCCAGATTATTTTTTTCTTAATTTTGTGTTTCTAATATGTGCTATTTGCTCACCATTCGCCTACCCTGCGTATTGAATCAATTCAATATTGATAAGAGCTCCCCCTGACAGTGGTTAACTTGGGACCCTCCTCCTGTAGCACATAGGAACCATGTTACTTGCATATTCACTATATTACAATATACTTCAAACTACCGGTAACGTCGCTGGACCATGCAGCCTTGCAAAATTTGTGGCTATCACGGGTGTCACACACCGTCAGACGTCGGGTCAACATATTGTCTTCCAATGTGAAGCAGTGTGGATCTTTACTTGGTGTAGCTTGTTGCGTCAGCTGTTTGTACATACGACAGTTCCTCAGCTGAGCTTGGTTGTTAATCACCTTCTTTGCCTCAAAGATGCCATGGTTAAATTAAGCCATTTAGACTATTAGCTATTGCGATGACTGCACTAGGCGATATGTTTTCACGACGAAGCTAAGATATTTGCGCATTGCTTAGAAAGTTAACAGGAATGTGAACACTGTCCTTCGTAATCTTCTACATGGTCTGCTCTTTCCTGCGCACATCTATCTTCCTTCGCCTTGACATATATTTTCAAACACGAGCACAATGATACGTATGTTTCTTTGTTCGTGTGTACTTGACATGACTACAGGTTATACTTAGGTAATAAAACCACTTTCACTCTGAGTTGACTAATTTATACCTATATCTAGACAAGATCAGATATGGTGGTAGACTGTATGATGGCTGACTTGCTGGGATTGGTAGAAATGCGCACAGATAAGCGATCAACACACAGAGATGGCAACATAGATGGCAACTTTCTTCTAGAAAGTACTCCACAAAGGCCTGGCATCCCTATTTTTGTGCATGTCGTCCGCTGCTCGTACTGCACACGTTGCAGGCAGCGTCTGCGAACTAGCAAATATGGACTATGCATAATCCGCCAGGGGTCACGTGACAAACGTAATCAGCGCTTAAAGGGCTAATAATAAATCAAAATGTGTCGCTCTTTCCCTTGCACGTGGTGTGATCTCTCACGCAAGCTATATTAGTCCGCAGTTTTCATTTTTAAGAAGCGGCGCATTTGAAATACTTGCTCTCATGTCATATTTCAAATTTTAAGCAACACTATGAACGCGTAGCGTTAGGTTGCCCGTAAACGCGTTACTACACTTTGCGGTATAACAGACCACAAAATGGCTGGCCAGCAGCCTTTCTGGTAGTGATATACAGTGGCGCAAGAAATGATCGTAAAACGTTGATATTGAGTACGATAATTTCAGAGAGGTTGCACAATGTCTATTAGTGCTTGGCAGCTATATTGCCGTGGAACGTAGATGCATCAATGTTGACGCTTCGTGGCAAAGCTCCGGCCCGACGACTATCATCCATTATGAATGATTAAAATTGCGGTAAGTGTTGTAGTTAACAGTGAGGGCGTGATAGGAGCGCTGTGACAGCCAGAAAAGCATCACTGATAGGACGCAGAACTTGAGCTGAAATTGTCATTGCCGAGTTATTAGACGCCATGGTTGGACTAGATAGAAGTGCAGTGCGCGTCGTGCCTCCCCTGTAGGTCGGCCGTGATCTTTCTCAGAGCGAGTGTAAGTGGGAAGCGCGGTGTTACCGCCAGGTGAGGCAGGCGCGCGTCGTAGAGATATTTTTGTAATGTATGAATGCTATGAACAAGGACAACGCTTGGGCTGAGGTCACCAACTCGCAGAGTTTTAAAGCGTTGAAAACATTTCACTCCTATTGAAAACGGTCCCAATCGCATGCACGCGTAGCAACGACACCTTGCAGGAGCTAATCACGGAGGTCATGGTGATGACACACTACTTCACTTTACCCATCCTAGAGGGCGACACCAACTTGCTGACTTATAGCACTGTGAGAGGAAATGAAGTGTGGGATACAAAAGGCTCGTTTGTGATGAATCAGGTGTGAGTGACTATGACGTAAGCAATAAAGAGAAATAATGTGTCCGTGGCGTAGTGTATAGCGTGCTCGACAACTTTAGTCGTGGACCGAGCGGTCATGGGTTAAACGCCCGCTGATGAAACTTTTTTTTCTTCATTATCTGTTCTCGTGAATTTTTTTAGATTACATTTACGGGACAAAAATACGTCACTTAAGTCTTGGTGAACTCCTGGATAAAAAAAAAACCCTTTTGTGTTAGAAATAAGCTACAAAAGAAATCCTAGAGTGTTCCGTATGGAAACCGAGGCTCACGTAGGGAAGGTGATTGTGTCAACGACTGGGTTACACACTCATGCATGCAATGTATCCGAACCCCATCAATACTTTGTACAAGGGATAAGAACAATTGCAGCAGCAGCCTCCACGACTCCACATCGCGAAGGCTGGTTAAATATAGAAGCTGCATGGTGGCATCACATTAGTAGGTATGGCCTGCATCGGTGCAAACGAGCCCGTGCACATTTTCCTTTTGCTCTACCAGCAAAAATCCTCCACAAAGACTTTTACTTCTTTTCTTTCTTTTTCTTTTCTTTTTTTTCGAAAAAAAATCTGACTATTGAGGAGAGAAGTCATCTTGTTGACCATAGCATAGCGTGCTGCACTAGTAAATTACGTTCCCGATTGCCAAGAATCATAGACCAGAGTAAGCAAATGACTGCTCCTGAAACAATCTTTTAGCAGTAAAGAAGGTGAAAAATGCGTAGGCAACGTATCAATTGCGCTGTACAATGCAGAAATGAAAATATTTGGCGCCTGGCCTGATAATTTCTTTCTTTACTACTTCGCTAATTGGTCATTGTGACGGTGCGCCTGCGTAACTTGTGAATATATAAACCAATGGATATTAATTTAATAAAACCAAATGCTATTTGTGCACGTGTTTCGCATCCTTCCTGTTGCGCCGTCTCGTTGAGCTATTTACGATGGTAATAAATTATATACCTGTTCGTATCCGGCCAGCAATACGGCGACATAAGAGTTGAAGATGATGAAGTTGGAAATGAACAGGTAAGAGACGAGGTAGGCGACCGCCAGACCTTTGCCGGCCGGCAGTAGCCAGACGAGCACCTCGTTCCAAGCACTGGATGTCGACAGCCGGAAGAGCAGCAGCAGTGCTCGCCAAAGCTGTCCGAAGTTCACCAGGCCACTGCGCCAGTTACCATCCTGTTCATGCTCCCAGCAGTCGTTCACGTTGATGTCCGTTCAAATATCTCTACTATTTAAATTGCAATGATGGTAGTCCTTGGAGTCCACAACCACAAATAGAAAAAGTAGGAAGCCCTATTGGTTGTATATTAAATGTGTCGAGAATGCAGGCCGTGAACTACACGCTAATGCCTAACGTAAGATTAACTTGCTTAGCACTTACTGACAGGTTAGTTTATTGAACAATTGAACTTGACTATATCAAGCTCGCTTAAATCAAATTATCTTTTATATGGAACTGTGTAATCACATCACAATGCTTTAATGTCAATTCAAAGAAAAATCTACGGCTAAATCGAACAAAAAAAATTGGCCCCGTATCTTCATGTTAATCTGCAGATGTCGTCGAAAGACGATAGTCTTGCGTGTGGAGAGAGTGAACAAAACATTTATTTGATGTTCTGCGCAAGAAAATCGGTGAATGGTATTCTGGAGGCGCTGCGTTAGAGTGCCTCGAGCGTGTAGCGGAGGCGAACGAGCACATCAAGCACGTCACACGTGATACATGAGCGCCATCTGGTTTTTTTTTTTGGGGGGGGGGGGGGGAACAAAGCACGTGGCTTTGAGACTGGTGTGCACGCCCGTCTGAGAGGTGATAAGGTGTAGAACGCAAGACGACGGGTAGGTGCCACTACCGTCTTGTCTTAGCAAAGCGTTGGAAACACTCGTCTTTTCGTGCAAGCGTCGCATGGTCAGCGCAGCGTGATAAGCGCTACGGTCCTTAAAAAATACTTATGTATGTCTTTTCTAGTAAAAGGCGCACATGAAGAATAAATACGTGTTGTTATAGTGTCCCAGACATGCTCAGTAATTGCTTTTTAATTGACAATTGGACAAGTATGAACGCTATATCTTGAGCAAAATTGGTGGGCGCTGCGGATGGGGTTGACCGTTTAGATCCGTTAGCCGTTTATGTCGGCCGTTAAGAGTACCCGGTGCCGTTAAGAGTGGACATACAGACAAATGAACAGACAGACAGGCAGACAGACCAAAATTTTTGCGTCGAAGGTCCCCAAAAAATACTATCATCATTAATAATCGGAGCACTTCCCATACCGAACATTGGACAGCGCGAAACGCCCTATAAGAGATTGGCTCTACCTCACGAGAAGGCATTTTCCCGCTGAAAGGGCTCACGCATTCACACGCATTTAAGTGCGTAAACGCTGCGCGGGCGCGCGCGTGCGTGTGTGTGTGTGTGTGCGTGCGTGCGTGCGTGCGTGCCTGTTTTCACTAAACGTCGCATCGGAGCAGAAGTGTGGCCTCTCATTTTAATCGACTATTGGTGCGTGCTCACCAGATGATGTACGCTGCTGAGCATATATACTATCGACCTCTATCGTGACAGCCAGAACTCGTTTCGCAAGCATAGAGAGAGATGGAAATAAAGAACTCTTTATTGAAAATCAGAGAATTTATCCGGCATATGCAAATCGCCTACCTGCTACTCCTCGTGGGGGAGGAAATAGAAAGTCGGGACAGTGAGAGAAGAAAAAAATTACAAAACATTGAGATGTACTTTAAATATAATAAAGAAACAATTGCCCGAATTCTCGTTTATTGGATAAGGACGTGCGCATACAAGCAATAGCGCTGCATAAAATATGAACACGGTAGTAAAGCTTGAAAAAAAAACGAGGCTATCAAATTCACTTTCACCCCACCTCCAATCACGTGGGCCGCGTACTTTGGGACAATACATGGTTCGTCGTCGATGCGTTCATCACGAAAAGCCCATCTCGGGTACAGAGCGTGGCGCACGTCACTTGCTGTGTATCGTTGTGAAACCGTCCAGCGAAAGCAATCACAAAATATAGGAAGAAACTCAGGACAGGAAGCTCTATCTCGTCATCAATGTTTCCTGCATACACTGTGTTCTGTTCCACTAAACGATTTCACTCAGATCAAAGGCTGGGTCCAAGCTGGCTGGTATAGAGCAACAGCATGGTGCATCAAGATGCATTAAGATGCATCAATGACTCAGTAACCAACGTTACACGAGGTGTAATTGCTCATCATAAAGCGCACGGAACACACTTCGCGTGGCACCTTCATTTTTAGCGTATAAACCTACATTCGGCCCGTCTATACGTATGCAAGGCGACAATATAAAAAGAAATTATGGCAAGCCTGAACGCGAAGGGCTGGGCTGAGTGGCCCAGCCCTTTTTCTTTTACTATATTCTTTTCTCCTACTATATTTTTTTTTGCCTTGCCGTCTGTTTTTCTATCTCTTTTTTCGTGTCCGCTTCGTCTCCTTCTTTCACCCACTTTCTCTCTCTTTCTCTGACTTTCTATCTTGCTTTTTACCTCTTTTCCTTTCTGATTATTTCTTTGTTTCCCTTTCTCTCTCTTTCTCTTTGTTTTCGTTCTAGTCTTGATACTTCAATTTTTTTTTCACTCTATCTGTTTCTCTCTCTCGTCCACGTGCACCTCTTAGCCGAGCAGAGGTTCAGCTTAACGGTGGACACCTTCTGTAATTCCTGTAGCGCATACCCGCCGGTGGTGTTTTACACACTCGGCTACGCCGTTAGAAAGTTGTCTGTGTAGCCCGTCCCGTTGTTGGTTCACGTTGACCCTAAATGCGCGTTCGGGCACCTGAAGCTGTCGTCGGAGCGCAGATTTCCGAACAGCGAGACTCCCAGGACGCCGTAGACGAACATGACGAGAAACAGAAGCAGGGCGATGTTGATGAAGGCGGGCACCGAGGCTGCGAAAATGAGCACAAGCTGGCGCACGCCTCGCACCGACACCAGGCTGCGGAAGACGCGCAGAATGGCCAGCGTGCGCAGGCCTCGAAGCAGGACCCACTCGGGACGGGACTGGGACACGCCGGACAGAAGGACGACGTCACCTGCGCACAATGAATCCAGTTTCAAAAGGACTTGTTTTTTGGGCTAGTTAGTGCATACTTGGTACAGAAGACTGAGGCGCAAAAACATGTCGTGAAGCAGGAAGAGCAGAAGAGAAGACAGAACAGGCGCTGTTCTGTCTTCTCTCTTCTGTTCTTCCTGCTTCACGGTATGTTTTTGCGCCTCAGTCTTCTGCACCAAATGGATCCAGTGTTTATCCGAAACTCTTTCCTAATTCATTAACCTAATCCCCGACCAGTCGGAAGCAGCATATGTCAACCTCGAACTTACGAGATAGGCTGCAGCTGGTGGTTCCTGCTGCTGGACCTTTGGACTAAGAATTCTACTCGTTGACAGGTGAAGAACTGAAACCACCACTGCCTACTTAATACTTGATCGGATAACCATCGAGGTGGCTATAGTTTAAAGTCAGTACTATTGTTATAAGTATTAGTCCAAGCCGACAAACCACGACGACGACGACGACGCTGCTTCTGCTTCTACTACAACTGTCTGTGCAACTACTAATAGTACTTGTACTACCTCTAATGCTACTGCTAGCACTACTGCCGATACTACCACTAACACTACTACCACTGACCCTTTAGTACACTATACCAACTACTGTCCCTACTATATTGCTACTTCCCGTTGCACTTGGCGATAGAACTATAGAAACACGCTCAATCCACCTTCACCCAAATCTCATGCTTAGCTGGTTGTAATCACATATTGTGGTTGGTTACTTCAACGTAAGATGGTACTACGATATTTTTCTTTTTTTTTGCCACGCAACAGAGACGAGAAACAACTGCCCTAACAGCCTAACAAAATGGGAACTTTATGATCACTCGCACTTCCATCTCAACGCACATTTTCCTCGCGCTCTTTCTAAAACATTAAGAGAGCTCGGTTATGTCATGAACCAATTGCTTGACGTCTCCGTGGTGAACACCTTTCATAATTGCTCATTCGAGTGCTGGTGTGTCAACAAATAAAGTGCGAAGCGAGTTCTTTGAGCATGTTGGTCGTGGTCAAACACTTCTACCGCGTTTGTTAACAAGCGCTAACATTCGAAACAATGGACTGATGCATCACGCCGCGCACGATGTCAGCAAGCAGGTCACGCAATCATGCCCCAGAGAGTTCCACATTCCGGCGTGCAGCAAGTCCGCACGAAAGTGTCCTCCCTTCGTACTGTGATCAATTTCATTTTAAAGAAAAACAAATCTTCAAAGAGACACGTTGTGACATTGTCCTGGCTTTATTTTATTTTTTCCGTATGGGCTTTCTGACCTTTCAAATATCCTTCCTACGACCCTCCCCAAAACCAAGGCACGTGAACAGAATTGCGGTCCCGCACGACAGGAGGGTGCTACGGCATGCTACAGAAAGATCGGGGCAACGGTTCTGACTCTATGACGAGCGCTTCACGGCACTCTCACACACATCTTGGCTTATTAGACGAGAGTGCAGGGTAGAAGGGCGGTGTCTCTATCACTTGACTTCCACCAAAAACTTTCAAGTGCGCAGTGGAGGGAAGTAACGCGCTGTGAACACCTCAGAAGCTCGTAAAACACGGACCTCCCTGCCCAGAGCGACCACAATGTGGTCCGTGACTCGGTGTTTGAGAATAGCTCGCATGCGGATAGCATAGTGTCTTCGCGCTGAAGGATTGTGTTCACCAATAGTGGTCGCTAATCGAGATGTAAGGTTCGTTCTTTTCACGTAGCATGGACGGAACTGGTTTCATAGAAAGCTTGGAACTCGGCGAGTTTTTATCGACATGGCATAGGAACGGAGAAGTAATCTTTCCCGTCAACTGACACGAACTGATAGACAGCCCCTACTTCTTTTGCCACCCATGAAGCATGAGCACCGAGTCTTGAGAAAGAAAAAATGACAGCATATCCACGGAGTGAATGATAGAGAGTGGGGCGAAGCATCCGTCCGTCCATTCGTCCGTCTGTGTGGCCGTCCATGCGTCCATTCGCCCGTCCGTGCTTGTGTCTGTTCGTTCGTCCGCACGTCCATCTGTGCGTCCGTCCCTGCGTTCGTCCATGCACCCGCCCCTGCGTCCGTCCTTGCGTCCATCCGTCGGTGCAGCCATCCGTGAGCACGTCCATGCATCTGTCTGTGTGTCCGTTCGTCCATCTATTGAACACTCCAAGCACCACCATCTCGCATCTTTTTACTATATATTCCCCATATAGAAGCACCGCCATCCAGCGGACATTCCAAGGACTAAACGAGAGGTGGCACACGCACACTTTCTTACGGCTTGCGCTTCGTCTCTACTTCCCACCTTTAAGCACCCAGAGTTTAACTACCTGGAGTTAACCACCACTAGTTCACTGTATTCATGGCACTGCGGCCCAACGCTCACTAAACCTTTCTAAAACCAAGGAGATTATGTCCAGCGAGTATAACGAAGCAACCCTTTCTTCTCAGATACTGCTCAATGTACATGCCAATGGATGCTATGGGGGAATGAGAGACTGGAGAATTCGGCTTTTAGTTAACGCGCATGCTGCAAATTTTTTTATCCTTCAACAATGCACAAAAGAAGTCTCTCACCAGCACCACCTTGGAGGTCAAAATGTAAGACTGGTCACACTACGAGGGACGAACGAGTGCCGCTATAAGAAGCTTCGCCCCTAAAAGTGAGGTCAGTTGAAGGAACAGCACATACTTTTCTATGGGAGAGTTAGTGAGATTAAGAGAATTGGGTGAAGATTGAGAGTACTTTGAACTCTCCTGGGTAAGAGCGGCAAGAGTCACTCGTGCACTAAATACTTACAAACTGCGTCAGCGTAAATTATACAAACGCTAAACGCAATTTTTACTCAGACCAAGAATAATACATTGTACGTTACTAAAAAAAACTGTTCAACAATAAACATGTGTGTTTAAAAAAGTATTTAACGATTTACAGAACTTGACAATTTATATACTATGGGAGGAGGAAGAGGAGAAAAACTATTTATCCCAAGAGGGAAAGGTGCGGTGGTGGAATGTCAGAGGAGCCTCCCCAGCGTATGTCTCCGCTACCCTCTTGGCCCAATTCAAGATCTGGTCCTGGACCTCGGGCGCCGAGCTGCACGCAGCAGCCTCCCATTGCTCCTTACTATAATGTGTAGAGAATTGTGTGGTGGGTTTCGAGTACACCCCCACATGATATGGGATAGCACGAAGCCGTCCCAGATCCTTTGTGTTGCTTTGTCCCAAAAGAGTGGCTGCGATTGTGGTTAGATAAAGAGGTTAACGATTTAGAGCACTTAGTACTGTACTACGGGAGAGCGCAATACCATCCCGTGGACCTCAGAAATACTTAAACTCGGGTAATAACAGCGGCATCCAGTAGCATTTCTTGCCACAGTGAGCACCATACTCAATCAGCGAAAGCTAAGTGGCTTCATTTAGTATCGCATAAAAGGCTTATATACATCTATCCTTCTAACCTGCTTTTGTGCAAGTATTTACAAGAAATTTGTGTCGATTGACAAATGAACGTGTGCAATGTTTACCCTTTCGGTCATAGCCTCCGCCTTTTTACGAAACAGCATGGACAACTGCAGACACCAGTTAGAAAAAAAATCGTTCATAGATGGCAGACTAGGAGGTAGCACGCGGGTGTATTGCCCGCACGCCTCTCCTGTCAGTTCATGGTTCAGAATTGGCAGCCGAGGTTTGTGAATACTGCAGCAACCATGACATCAACGTGAAACATGACATCGACTGATGTGAAAGAGGCTAGAAATTTTTCATTGGCAATGAAGCATGCACTTCATGCCAACTTTCTAAGTAATACGTCTGTATAGTCATTTAGTATTTTATTATTATTATGATTCGTATTATTTTAGTGCTATTATTATTCTGTGCTAAAAGCAGCTATGTTTTGCGCTATGTTTCTTTGTATAATTCTATCATGTGTTTTTTGCTTTTTTTTGTATTTTTAAACATTGTATCCAGGTTGATGTCCTTTGTCGCTGTGTAACCGCTTGCGCAAGTATGTAGGTATGTCACACAATTGGTCCCTCTACTAGCCAGTTAGGCTATCGGACCAAACAAGTGTTTGCGAAGTTCTTTTGTTACATGAATGTGAAAGTTACAATAAAAAAAAACGTAAAGAGTAGTGGCAGAGGACTTTCCAAGAAACTTTAAACATGCACACTATACGTCAGCTGAGCTACTGTGGATGCCCAACTAAAGCTGCATGTCCGTCTATGGGGGCATCTCAGTGTGATCACTACATATGCGGGATGAAGCAGACATCGGTCAGCGTAAAAGCACGGCTATTGAGCGAGTTAAGAATAAATATTCAAAATAACAAAGAATAAAAATTTTAAAATGCCCGAGATTAGGAGAGGTGGACAGCCGGAAAGGTTTCGATTTCGTTGAGAGCTTGTGCACAGAAATGGTTCACATATCTGAACAAAGAAGTGTGCATGTGTGTGCGGGCGTTCTGGCGAAAAAACTGACCCCGACATTTTTTTCTAACAAAGTTCTAATTATGTTGTGCTTAATTTATGAGTGATTGGGCCGGCAGTTGCGACTAAGCTTCAGCACGTGCGTAGTATGCGTTGCTGAAGGCAACACTTTTCGATGACATATCGGGACAGATCGTCACTGTGCACATGATTCACGTCCACCACATATCGTGCGTGTGTTGTTGAATCCTTCACGTGTTTGCTATTTGCAACTAACTCGTGTGCTAACAAGGCTTACTTTGGTCTGAGTTCCTAAAACGACGAAGGCGCTGAACAACAGCTATGTGTCTTCGTCAAACACGCCACAGAACAACGCGTTGGTTCGGGCTCTTTGGTAATCCATGAATATTATCTTCATAGCTCAGAACTTACGCAACGTGCAAAGATACGCTCAAGCTCCAACTTCTAAATGACTCACAAGAGTGGAAGCTTGGGCTAGTTGGTGCGTAGTCATATTTGCAAGGTGTTTCAGCGCGCGAACAAAGGAAAAAAGGACAGGGTAGACAGAAAGA